TGATAACTAGAGGCATTTCAATAATTTCAACATTGAAGATACTATAAAGTTAATTAAATAATGAGATGCACATATACTTAAGCCTGAATTTGGATAAAATTAGACAGTGACTCTACAGTTGTTCCGGTATTTTTTTCTCAGATTTCAGATATGGAAGTAACGTTAGCGCAGGCCCAGGCTGACATACTTCTACTTTGTTCTTAAAGATTTACAGTATATAGGCAATGTCGGTTTTAATCTATCAATGTAATGCAAAGGCAATGTAATTTTAATTTAATTGAATATATGACCAACTCAATCAGATCCTATAAATTCATTGTAATACCACTGCTCTACTTGTGACCTTAACTGTACTACATGTGAAAAGACATATTCATATTAGTATTTATTTTAACTATTCCAATATCCTAAAATATTCTTAAATGATACTGTTGATGAAAATGTTTACTTCTTAAACAAGGTTATTGAACCCGTTTCAACTGTATCTAAGTGAACGTTTTGATACTAAAACTTTAGTTTAAGTGCAAAAATTTTGTTTTTGTTAATCAAAGATTGATAAATGCGAAGCAACAAAAGAAGAGAAGATTTAAATCATCCAAAAGGGTACAATAAACCTTCACTAAACTCACTAAATATAGTCTTTTGAAAGTTTCGTACATTTTTTAAATACAATAAATTTTTAAATTTAATTAAAAAAAGAGTAAACAACTAACAATCTGATTTTGTTTATTACTGTTACACAACCGCCTTAAAAGTCATTAAGGAAGAAGGAATAAATACTTCTCAAAAGATTAAAATATAAAAACGTTGTAAGGAATTTCGAAATTCAGTCACTTTTCTCAGACCAAACCAAAACCAGAACGGAACGCCTCATCGACAAAAAAATTAAAGGATGCCTCAAAACTTTCATAGCAACCACAACTGAAAATAACCTGCAGCAAAAGATTGGCAGAACAATGGCAAAAATGAAATGGTCAGCAATTTTTTGGCCAACCCAAAAATTCTTATTGTTGATGACTTCTTATCAAGAAAATCAACAGCAACAAAAAAGCCGCACATTGTAAATGATAATTTATGAGCTCGAAGCAGATCGAAGCAGATTTTAGGCAACAAGCATAAAATTGCACTTTTGTTGCAAATGCAGTTTTAAAAAAGCACAAAAAAAAAGTTGATGTAAATCCAAAGCTCATGACAAATTTTTATACGAGTTCAAACAATTCAAAAGGTGGATCGAGGTGGATCGAGGTTGATCGCGGCTACTGATAAATTTTTATGCCGGAAGAACAATTACAGCATACAATGTTTCATTTTATTCCTTTTAGGGTTATTGGTGCCACACTTTACCTTTATACTTATGTTTTGTTTTGCTAATAGCATCTCTATATTATTAAATTAATTCTTAAATCCACAAAAAACAAGTGCAACAGCTTAATATCAGATATTGGTCAATATTTGCACTTATATATTAAATCCAAGCCATGCCTCCTCAGCAAACTTTAAATTAAATTTCGCAACATCGAAACATGGGAAATGCAATAAATTAGTGCGAAAATTCTAGGAAGTAAGATAAATTACCAATATCTTCTACCAAACATTAGTAAGAGAACTGAAGCTACACTATATTCGTTAGAAAAGCGTGCGGCAATTAGAGCAGCAACAGATCGACTGAAATTCCAGAATGAAACGCACTAGCGTAACTGACATCCTTGCCACATTCGCGATCTCCAGCAGAAAGCATGAAAATGAAACGATAACGAATCTCTCCAAGATTGTGTACCAACATAACACCACAGCACATCGCCATCGCCACTGCGTTCAAATAATATTGGTAGCAATATTTGTATCAACAACATATTTCTCAGGATTACAAATCACGATTGCTGATAATACGTTGCACATGCGCAGTACATAAAGCAGCCACGCTCGTATGTAAAAAAGTAGGCGCATTCGCTGAAATGCATTTGAATTTTAACAACACTCAAACACTGCCGCAACGACGCAAAAGCGGTAATATCATCTTCGCCATCATAACTCAAAACCGATAAAGTCGACGAAATACTTTTGGTAGCGCAGCAACAATTGTAAACGCTAGAATGACGCAGTCTACAGAAGTGCATCTTCTTCTACAGCGGCTGCTGCATGTTGCGTGCCTGTTCTTAGTCGCCGTCCAGTTGCTGCAATTGCGCATGTGCTACTTATTCAGTTGCACGTTATAATTTTGCTGCAATGCTGTTTGTTTTTTGTTTTTTTTTTGTTCTTTTAATTTTTGGAGTCGATTTTCTTTATTAACCATGACCAGTATCCGTTAGCTCGGCTACTTTTTCGTGGACAGCAATAGTCAATAAATTTAAAGAGATTCGCAGGCGACTGCAAAGTCTTTAGCCGCCGTTCCCATGTACTTCATTGCGATCATTGGAACGCAATGACTCACTTCAGTTCGCTTTTAATAATTTATAATTAAATTCAAATTAGACGCGAACGTATTCGTGTTAACATGAAGTGATTGTGCCATTGAACGTGAAGCGGTATGGATTTTTAACGCCCGCATTAATACGAGTTAGCGGTATCTGAGCTCTAATATTAATAATTTTTACTTAAGATAAATGCAATTATGAAATAATTTATTGCAATGCAATACATTAAACTGTATTAACAGCACGTAAGTTCTTAGCTGATTTATCTGTAAAATTATACATTCTGACGGAAGATTAAGAATTATTTTAAAAATTTCTGTGAAATGACTTTTAAATATGCCGACAAAAACTATAAAGTATGATGTATAAGAATAAGTAGTTATGATATGTAGTAACATCATAAGGATATATAAGTGACAAGACGTTTTATGCTTGAAATATATATCTTTCATTTCTCTATTATTCTATATTGTAAATGGTTCCTCAATGAATTGTGGGAATATAAAGGTAAGACTCCAAAATTAATGTCTGTAACTGCATTTTGTCCAAAACAGTTTCAAGGCAACCAGAATGTAGAACAACTAACTTAATTCATACAAATATATTAAAAGTATCTAAGATAATATTGCTTCTAATACGCCACTGAACTACATGGCAGCATTAAGCCAGGTTGGCGAACCTGCCGAATCTCTTGTAAAACATGTCTACCGCTGCTCGAGTAGGAGACACTAGAACCTCCGTTATGCCTATGTCTAGGTCTTCCATAACTAGACTTTAGTTTTTAAGCACTTCATCATTTAATTCACTGTGTGTAATTGCCAACATTCATATTACCCAGATATTTGTATTTATTAAAGCGTCCACTGATTCGAAAACGGCTTTCTTAATTAATTGAGGATGATTTGATACTTTTTCCAATTCAACTACCTACCTTATACCAGAAATGTGTTTAACAAAACAAGAGTTATAATCTATGTATATATGTATTATACAGAGCGAAAATAAATTTTAGAGTAAAAATGACAACTGTACGTCTGTCCATAGTAGTGCTGTTCGTATTCGAATTTACGAAGTATTCGAAGAATCCGAATATTCGAAATGCTTTCATCCCTCAAATAATTTGTGTGATACAGTCTTTGAAGTCTTCGAAGTTTTTCACTGCACTTGAACTTCGAAGACTTCGAGAAAAAAAATTTACAAAAAATTCGAATTTATTTCCAACTTCGAAGACTTCGTTGAAATACGAATATTCGAATAATCTAAAAACTTCGACTTTTAAAAAAATTCGAATAATATGAACAGCACTAGTCCATAGTACAAATTATCGTTTTATTAGCCAAAATTATCAATGTTATTTTTCAATATAAACAAAAAATCATACTACAGTCCAACTTTTGGTTGTCAATATAGCTACAAGTGAAAAACTAAAGACAATATATTATAGAAAAAGATATCAGCATTAAATTAACTCTGTTCGTAACATGATTGAACTTATAAGAACAGATTTCTGTTTAAATTCGGATTATGTTCTTTTCCAAAAGTATTATATTCTTCTTTACTGTTTATATTTTATAAATTAAATGAAATTAAAAATAACTATAGTCTTTATGTGAAATAATAATGGAACACAATATCTTTTTATACAAATTTTATTAGCTCCATAAAAGTTAATACTTAATTTAGGAAAATCTTTAATCATTGCTTTGTGCAAGAACTTCAAATTAAGTAACTTAATGCGAGATCATAAAATCTCAGTATAGAATTTCTAAATAAGAAATCGTAAAAATAAATAAGCTGTACTTTAAAATAATAGCAATTAAATAAATTCAAGAATTCAAACAAATTCAGTTCATTCCTCGAAAAGAGAGCCCAAAATTGTCAGCAGTTGTGCCACAAACCAAACCAAGTGATGCTTCATTAAGTATGCAACACCAACGCGATTAGATCGCTTATTTAACACAAGGACCACACACATATCGACATATCATTTAAGCAATGCCACAAAATCGTCCAATAGCAATAGTTGCTACAACAAGTCAACTGAGAACTGAGTTAGAGACAGTGATGCTATCTGCCGATTGGCAAAATATTAAAGCCTCTTAAAACTGTTGCAATAAAATTCCATTGCCAGAAATAATTTAAGCCGCAATAAACGTTACCATTTTTGTTTTAATTGACGTAAATAAATGCTGTTGACAACAAAAACACAACTGACACAACTGCTACAACTGCTGCAACAGCAGCAATAAAAGTTGATCCAATTGTGGCAACATTACCAAGAGCAAACTTAACCAATTTCGTATTGAACGTCCCTGTTTGTGCTGCCGTGTTGCGCTAGGCATTGCACCAATGTTGCCACATGTTTAGTGTTGCCTGTTTAGGCTAATACGAGTACGTTTGCAACAAGTTCTCGTTGGAAATGTTCCACCAATGTGTAATAAACATTTTTGTAATTGTGTGACATTTTTAGGTTATGTTGCTACAACATTTGCGATTTGCAGATAAACAATTTTGCAATTCGATATCTGCAGCACCAACAATAACAACAACAACAAATATTTTAACCATTTTAAATTATCATTACAGATCAGCAAACTATTATCGCAATACGAATACTTGTGAACTCTCCGAAATGGATCGCATCACTTTGGCCGGTACGAGTGCATTCCAACCGCGGGATGATATCGATTATTTGGAAAATAATTGCGCCGAAGAGCCAAATAAATTGTGCGAATTCAAACGTTTGTCCGGTCGAATTTTGAAGACCGTTGACTCTGTTTATCAGGACGTGGGTAGTATAGAAGAGTGTCGTGATTTATGTTTAAATTCTCCTTACAGGTAAGTGAGAAAAGAATATAGAATTAATAACTAGTATTATAAGATCGGTATTAAGTTTCTTACATATCAATAAATATAAGTGTTAAATACACGAATAGAAATTCTTGCTACTATTATAAGTAATAAGATTAAACCTCAGCTTATTTTAAAAATATATTCGCTAGCATTTAGTACAAAACTCAAGTCTCTAATTATATTTCACAATAGATGTCACTCATATGACTATGGTGATACTGGTGATATGGTCTGCCGTCTATCTCATCATAGCCGAGCAACATTAGCCGATGTAGAGGACCCTTACTTAGAAGTACCGGAAGCATCTACATATGAACTCTCTTCTTGTTACAATGTCACAATAGAGTGCGGTGCAGGTGATATGATCGCACGTATCAGAACTTCTAAACTATTCGACGGCAAAGTGTATGCGAAGGGTTCACCAAAATCTTGCGCGGTGGATGTCAAGACAGCACTTGACTTTGAATTGCGCATGGGCTACCAAGATTTAGAGTGTAATGTACGTCAAAGCGGTTCAGGGCGCTATGTTAACGATGTTGTCATACAACATCATGACACAATTGTGACATCATCAGATTTGGGATTAGCAGTTACTTGTCAATATGATTTAACTAACAAATCTGTCACGAATGACGTTGACTTAGATGTTAAGGGTGATATAGAACCAGCACTATCAGAAGAAGTAATAGTCGATTCACCTAATGTCATCATGAAAATAACATCACGCGATGGTTCAGATGTTATGCGTTCAGCTGAAGTTGGCGATCCATTAGCACTTAAATTTGAAATACTTGACGAGCAAAGTCCTTATGAAATATTCGTACGCGAACTTGTGGCTATGGATGGTGGTGATAATGCTGAAATAACGCTTATTGACTCAAGGGGTTGCCCAACAGATCACTTCATCATGGGACCAATTAACAAGAGTTCATTATCTGGTAAGGTGCTGTTGTCACACTTTGATGCCTTCAAATTTCCATCGTCTGAAGTTGTGCAATTCCGCGCTTTGGTCACACCATGCATGCCAACATGTGAGCCCGTACAATGCGACCAAGATGATTTCAGTGCTGAACTCAAATCGCTGACTTCGTACGGACGCAGAAGAAGGCGTTCATTAAACGCAACAGGTGAGTGAAGGTGGCACAAATAAGAGTTAAAGAAATACAAAAACAAAAGATTTAAGTTTGAGATTTGATATTTGATGCCATGTCGATACACTGTCATTATCACGATTTACTCGCTTCCTTGAAGTTATGTGTTCATACTATTTTGTTTTTTTATTTTTGTAAATTGCTTGCAATAGCCGCGGGCAAAGTTTCTGTACTTAAATTTTCGTAATGATGACGTTTTATTTTATGTCTTCATCATTTAAAGTAACTTTCGTCACTATCGCCTACACGATTTTCAATAAAACTAAATTTTATTTTATTTTATTTCTTCCTCTTTTCCTATTTTTTTTTTCTAATCGAATAGAAACATTTATTGGCAACACTCGACAACGATCTCGTCGTGAGACAACAAAAAAACCCAGCCAGGACGATATGCTTTTAGTGCAATCAATTCAGATCACTGACAAATTTGGATTCGATAAGCAACAGCAAACCAAAACATCCGCATACGATACCAGCGGAGAGACCGTTTTCATCTCTAATGACGCTACACAAGGGTTCTGCGTTAATGCAATTGGTAAGCACAAGTGGCGTAAAATGCGGGGGAGTAAGAAGTGCTAGGCAGCTCACAGATATCGATAGTGTTAAGGTCGTTAAAGAACAAAATAGAAAACAAATTTAAAAAAAATTGGAAAAAATTATTTATTGCTGGTAAAAGCAGAGGTATTGCCCAGTGCAGTCTTCTGAGCTAAAAATGATTTTTTTTAAAGAAGTTAAACACTTTTATTGGATCAAAGATATTTTATAGAAACAAACATTTGCAACTACTAATTTATGATGTGATCTGAAGACAATATATGGTGACAAGAATAATATACTACTATAGTGCGATAAAAGATAGATAACTTTTTAATTATGATATTTATTGGCCATGAATTTCTTGCCTTAACATTTAATAAATATAAAAATCACAGAGCCTATACTTCACAATAATATTGTGATATTAGAATATTAAAAACAGGTGCTGGCAAATACAAGTACTTCATATACTTCATACATATGAAGTATATACATATGAATGTGCAAGTACCTAGTACTTAAGAATAATCTTAGAGGAAAAACATTAGAAAAAACAGAAGGTGAAAACCCTAATTAAATGGTTTAAATCTATATAATTTAATTCAAGTCATAGATTGATAAGAGAATGTAATTATACGAATTTTTTAACAAATCTACAAATTTTAAAATTCTTTTCAAAAATTTTAATTTTCAAGATTTTTATTTAAATTACTTAGCACAGATTCAATCTAGTCAATATTGTTGATAGTTTTTATCTTTAAAATCCTTATTCTTTTTGTTAATTTCAAAATTTTTTAATATTTCTTACAACAGGACTCATTGTTGCAACAACTGTATTCCTCCTTGCCCAATTATCAGTAATAGCAATATGGACATATATCTACCAGAGACGCCGAAAACAACAAGCGTACACAAGTGATGGCATTGGTACAACATCTGCCTATGGTGGACACACCAGCTCTACAGGATCGACTATTCTACCAACTGCGCGAACAGAATCTCTTTGCAAATTATACGAAAGTGGCATTGCTGGACGACACGGACTACAATTTTAAGAACTACGACTAATGAGATTGGAAAAAAACGTATATATACCACCTTTTTTTAAAAGAAGAACAAATAAGTAATTACTTAAGATGCTTGAGGAGAGACAGGAGCATCATTATTTAAGAAAAAGTTGCAATATGAAAACATTAGAAGACGCCATTAAAAATGTCAAAAGTATTTATGGTGCCGAATAGTTTAATACTTGCGGGAAGCAATATAAATATTAAATATTATTTAAAAAACAATTATCGATTATAATTAACTATGCAGTTGTAGTCTTAACTTAGTTATAAGTGAGAAAATCATACTTTAAGCAAATTAAATCACATAGCAAATCTTTCGAGAGCATAATTTTGGAAAAAAGGACGACTGATATATTTGGAGAACAATATCCAGCAATTTTGGATTGTTTTATATACTGCATTTTATAATATATATATATATAACATAAACGATACTAATCGAAGTGAGATATATTTAATTTTTATTTATAAAAACGACTGCTTAAAAGTTAAAGTATTTTAAGCATTTAACTTAGTTTTTATTTTAAGTTTTTTACTATGAAACAGAACTGCATTTAT